ATAATAATCTATAAGGTGTAACAGAAAGACATGACAAATGGAATAATTTTTGTTCTGATCAATGTTTAAACATTTTGTTTTACTACTAACATAAACATTTTTTATTGTATTACTCATATTGAGAAAATTCAAAATAGTCAATATTGAAAATCCAACTTTTAGACATATTCTGACAGTGAAAACGTTTATGTGAGTCTAGTTCTTAATTGTTATAGATTAAAGTTATTTAAAATATCAATACTTTTTTGGAGTAGGTACTTAGTACTATTACTACTTACACATCTTAATTAATTTGAAACTCAGAATTTTGAATTCTTTTCGTGGATATCCTGACACAAGTTTATTTTTAAATTATTTAGTGTTCATAATTTTTATCATAATATGTGAACTAGTATAAATTTTTATTTTTATTTATCACGAGTTTCTGTTATACCTTGTGCACTATGCCCCTTGATCGATCTGTCGAACGAAAAATAATTGACGTTTCTATATCTAGTATTTATCACTAAATAATAATATAAATAAAAATCGGGCAACCAAACGCGTTAAAACGAATACAATTATTACGTATAACGTCGACGACGGATACCTATAAATAAAATATGAAGTGAAAAAATAAAAAAACGCGTTTGCTCCGTTTGGAACTTGAAAATAATGATTACACTTATAAAATGTTTGCGAGTGACACAAAATAATATATATGTTTTCATGTACGGTATATAAATATAATATATATATATATATTATATACACACTGTTATAAACCAATCGTAAGTTATTGTACGCGTCCGTATCACACCATATAATATAATAATAATATTATTGTTTATGAATTATGTGCAACCGATGGCTTAAAATATAACGCACACCCGTGGTTCCGTTTTGTGGGCTGATCGCGCACGGTGTACGGATAGATTAAGAGGCAGCCATATTATGTTGTAATAGTAGGTAGTAATTTAATATGTATACAGGGAGGTTCACCGAGCATGCTCAACCCCATTTCCATTTGAATTCTGATATCTGGGGTTTTTAAATAATACATTTAAAGAGCATTTTTCCGTATACTTAAATTTTTCGCTTTACTTAAAGCGAGTGCCCTATGACGATCAAAACTTTTTTTTTTCAAATGAAAACGCCTCCCCTTTTTTACTGTATACTGTTTAGTAGATAATTATTTTGTAAATTGTGATGTACTCAATTTAAAATTCAAACGAGTGTGGAGTTTCTCAGTTATCTATTAACATGTTTATTCGGAGGATAATAATTATAATAGTCCTAATAAGTGGTTTTACAAAAAATTAAAACAGTTAACAGATGTAATATTGAATCTAGTATTTATTTTTCTTGGACCTGGATTATTACAAATTGATTATTACTATTATTGATGGGTTGATGTTTATCACCAATATTTTTAAAACACCATAGCTCCAATATCTTCCAAATAAATTATCGTGGACTTATTGCTTTTAGTGACCAAAGTTAAATAACTCAAAAACTACTAGACGAATTTTAATTCTGATATATCAACATTTTCATAATAATTATCAACTAAATAATTTACAGTTGTTAAAACAGAAGTTAAATTATTCATGGATTTTAAAAATGGTCTTTGAGCGTGTTTAAAATGTTCAAAAATCAGATTTTGAATAATTTAACTATTGAAGGAAAACATGGGAAATGAACATGCTCAGCAAACTACCCGGTATACAATGGTCTAATGGCTGCATATATCTATATATAATGCATGTATAAGACAAGTAACCGATTTATAATAATATAGATAAAAAGCCGCGTTCGTCTGACAAATGACCAATAATCAATAATACGCCCGAGTTCGAACCTCATAAAATATGTAATCGTTTGCAGGTTTTCTGCGAGTTACAAAACGACACTCGTTCGTTTATTTCACTTGTCGTACATGGGATGGTCACACAACGACCCACCACATCGTATGGATAGGCAAAGTATATGTCCACCTCGTTTTAGGATTTCTGACGTTTGACTACAGTTACTGTATGGTTTAATAATTCTATTATTTATATTTTCTACTAATGTTTGTAATAATTTCTCAATATCGTATCGAAATAAAATGACCACCATTACTTATTATGACTGGACTTAATATTTTGAGTGGCGACATTCTCAATAGCTCGCTAGCCTAATACTGGCCAATCCCTCATATTAAATACAAATATAAACACTGAGAGGAGTATTTAAAGGCTTATTTTCAAAGTCTAATTATAACATTTGAAATAATGGAACGATAATTAGCTATTGATATATAAAAATAAAGTACATAACATGCTATTTATTTTTTTTCAATTACTTCCTCGAGATGACCGGCAGATCTTCTTAAGCACTCTTCTAATCTTTCTAGGATGTTTTTCACTTCCAAAGGTGTATTGTCAATTTTTCTCGGATTTTGTTTTTTAATTCATCAATATCCATAGGTTTCTGTCTATTTAGCACTCAACCACTACGTGATTATTAGATGGCATGTTATTTTTAAACTAATAATATTTAATAACTGTACTTATCTTAAATTAATATCCGGAAAAACTATTTTTTAAATAGACCGTTTATGACGTTCAAGTGCCCCACGTCCTATAGATACGTCTACGTGTATAATATTTCTTATTTGTGTTAAAATAAAATTAAACTCATCTACAGACAGTTCAAATATTATTTAAATAAGATTGAAAGGGGTGACCCTAGAAAGAAATCAAATGTTTCTAAAAATATTAACAATTGAATTATCATTAATACTTCTATTATTTGATACTCGAAAAACACCATTATTGGTTACCCCCGTCCCCCGATATAATATGTATATGATGATAGTCGATGAATATTTTGAATAATCTTCAAGTGATCAAAAAAATATATGATATAATACGTCATAATATATACCATTAGATTTAGTCAAAATGTTATAATATCGATTGTTGGGTGGCGAGTGACATTTTAATTTAATTTTTTACTTTCATGTTTTTTACGAAATTATTAGTAAATTAACAGTTTTACTGTTAGCTATAGTAAAAAATATTAACAGCTATATAAATAAAAATAAATCATACAATGTATATATATATAATATAATGATGGAAGTTTATTGAACGAGTATTGAAATTTGTTCACTTCTCGTAATAGTGTCGTATTTTAATTTATAGGTTCAATTTTAACGTGAGTTGTAACAAAAATCCAAATCCAACTTTTTATTAATATTGTTCGTTGTATGTTGAATATTATATTCTTGCCCAGTTATACCAAGTAGCAACCCGCATGACCTCACTTCTGGCCACTGAATACTTGACAGCGTTTCCTAACTACTGTTACTGAATTAGTTTGGCGTTAATAGATACAACAGAATAACGAAATAGTCCCGAAATAGTCCCGTGTATGATTTACAAAAGTAAATGCTTTTATTCTCATGAAATTCGAAATACCATACTAATAAGTTTTTTTTTTATTTTAAACAAATGTTGAACCAAAAATAATCCAGTGAATTATCAAAAAAAAAAAATTTTAAAAATTTTAAAAAAAATCTTAAAAATTAAAATTTCCAGAAAATATTGAATACGTATTGATACGTAGACAATCATAGTTTTAGAGCTAGCTCAGCGTGGCTAACTGTATGATGTTTTTTTAGCAGAAAACAAAACGAAAAGTGCATCGATATCCCAGCCCTAATAATGAATTGGGCGGTACTGCAGTTGTACTCAAAATATCGTTGATATGGAATATTGCTTGGACCCCCCGACTTGTATCTTAACTTGCTAAGAATGTGAAAGTGAAAGGACGGTATAAAACTCTAAATTTTAAAGCAGTTTGTCTGTGAAAAAATAAAAATAAATAGGGTTCGGATTTCAATGCATAGTGCATTATTTTTTTGGTTGCACCAGAACAATACATTCCAATAATAGGTACAACACAATTCAGGTACTTCAAATATGAAACTTTCATTCTGCATTTTTTTTTTTAATTATTCAATGTTTTTAAATTTTTAGAACATTTTTTTTTATAATTCTTGGGTAGTTACTATCCATGTATAACTATATTATAGTACGAACTTTTACTCGTGAATATCATGAAATTCAAAACAACGTAATATGAATACATAGAAATATTGTCTTCATAATACAAGTCAAGTCTCAAAAACTTGAACATCGATTACTTGAATTTTTTATTGAAGGGTTTTTAAGCTGTGTTTGGGGTTAATAAAATGTTTAAAAAAGTTAAAAAAGTTGAACTTTCGAGTTATGGAAACTTTATAGTTTTTAGGTATTTTTCTTCGTACTGTAATATATCTACCGGTCTATAACAAATGCAATAACGTCTTTAACTATCTCTATCGATTATCGGATGCAATGAATTAAAAATGAGCGGGACCCCGACAAATAATAATACTAATTGATCAGATTAGGTAGATACATAATAATCGTATATTTATTATTTATTTTCAGTTTACTGTATATTCATTGTGTACTTGTCTAACTTTGGTATTTAATTTTGTATTATCATCAGTTAAGTTATGATAAAGAATACGTGTTAAAAATGCCGAAGGTTAAACCATCGTTTTCTTATCACATGCATGCAATATAGTTGCGTGCCTATGTATACAATGTTGTAAGAAAACTATTACTACCCGTCGAAAAGGAATTTTCAGTTATTTGTCACACACGAATAAATGATATCGGAAATATGAAACGCGACGACTAATGACAATAATATATTATTATAATGGATATTAAACAATCACTGGTCGTCGGCATTCCAACTGTATATTATAATACGAGAGATGGTTCACGATCGTTACACAATCGTGCAAATTGATAATTAGACGTTCGGACGCGTAAATAATAATAATAATAATAATAATAATAATAGTACGACGACGACATATCGAGACACGCGCGCATGTGCTCCGTGGGAAGAGCTATTTGGAGGAGAGCCGTAACTTTTTTGGCGCCCGACTGTCGACGGATTCGTTTTTTCGCCGACGGCACGCGTTTAGTCTGTGCCGCGATTACTCCCGTAAACTCGTCTACCGATCGCCCGCGTGTCCTCTCACTCTCTCTCTCTCTCTCTCTCTCTCTGTGCCAAAATGCCTAATAATATTATTATGTAATATTAAAATAATTCTACTTATTCGAACACGACTCGTTTCCGTATTTACGGACATTCAGATGGTTTTTCGATTCGATTTTTCTCGTCCATTTGTATAATATATTATTAATCGCCGTGACATGTAACACCTCCACATTTTCGACGGGATACGATGCTACTGTTTTGCGGTTGAGCAGAAGACACACGGTCAGTACAACGTTCAACGTTTTTTATTCTAATTATTCAATTAGAATAATAATAGAAATAGAAATTAAAACTAGATGCTTTGATATAATATGACTATTAGATGTTCATTTATTATATAATATAATGTGTTATGGCTATTTTTGTTTTAATTAAAATAATACATACATAACACAGTATATTCGACTTGTACCTATAACACACTTTTCCGTTTTCAAAATGTGTTTACAATCCGCTAGTCGCAGACTGGAAGTATAACTTTTTCTATTTAGTCTATAAAATCACATACAGCTTTTAGTAAAATGTTTACATTTGTTTGAACTTAATAAAAAAATGAAATATTAATTATTACTTTATAATATTATTTATTTAGTAGATTTATTTGGCTTCCAAACAAATTTGTTTACTGTAGGTACCTTATTTCTAAAAGATAGCTTCACTTACAATAACGTCCGTCTGTAACAAGGAGGAATGCAATATGGAGTATTACTTTTCTTCAGAACAACTCATTTGTCTATTGCAATAAACCACGTACTTACTTCAAATAAAAGTAATTATTTTAATAAATTGCTGACTATAGTGATCACTATTTAAACAGTTTTTCACAAACACGCTATATATTATTACATGGGTGGTTCATTCGCATTGACTATATTGCTTCCACGTTTAAAAAGATTTACATATTATAACGCGTATAATGAATAAATAAAACGTTATGTCAAGTATAAAATATGACTTAAACTTAAAATATTCAATTCATTAATTATATACGTTAAATCTTCATATCTTCAATAGTATATTAAATTATTAAAAACATAAAAAGATATTTGTACTTATATTTATTGGGTTTTTATTCATTGTTTGATATATAAATTACAATATTCAAATATTTTTGATTTGAATACACCATTTTTAAGTATTTAGAATTCACCAATTAATTATATATAAATATATAAATAGGTATCAGACAAATTTTTTCTAAAAGCGGGGACTAATAAATTACAGGTAATTGTGTGTATTACAATTAAGAAGGTCGTTACCTAATTATTTAAGAATTGTCATTAATTGAACCGGTATTATGTTGTTGTTGTTGTTGTTGTTGTTGTCATGAGTTTGAAAATACTTACAATATAATATACACAAATTTAAAAACATGTAAGTTATTACATTATTATTTCATGTAAAGATTCAAGTGTCATACATTTCAGTTGTCATGCAGTCTAATACTATTAAATATTTTTAAGGACATTTATAATACGTGGTCGAATTTTTTTTTTTTTTTTAAAGTCGACTTGATTAAATATAGGTAATAATATAGTATGATTACGTTTTTTGTTAATATAAACAATTAACTCAAGTACTTTGGGTTCAGTGAAAAAGTTTTCTGCTTTTATAGAAATGCATCAATCCGATGGCTTATTTTGTTTTAATAAATTCGTATACCTATATATAGTTGTATTTATACTGCTTCTGGCTGGTTATCACATTCGTCCAAAACTTTGAAATATCAAAGTTTCAACTACATTGTTATATTATATCGTTATAATATGTGTAATATGTCTATGGGTATCAAGTTTTGTGTTCAACAATTTTGGAGTACTTAAGTACAATATTATAAGAACATGGTTATTAATTTATGTTGCTTTAGGCATTCCATCAATTATTATTAATCAAGTCGCACATATATAATAACGTGATTGCATTAATTAAGTGTATCTCTATGATGAGTCTCACACTTGCATAATGACAAATGTGTATGTGGAGTCTTTAGAATATGTAAACGTGAAAACAAATTGTTTTATAGATTTTAGCTTGAATGTGAAATATATCGTATTATTCTGAAGGATGTATTGGTAAAAAATCTCTTTTGTATACGCCATTTTTTTCAATAATAAATCACCCAATAATTATTTTATTCTCAATCCGCTCAAAAACTAAATAGCACTATTCTCCTAAACTAAAATATCCTATCTCAACCAATAACTTTAAAAACTATAATATATAACTTTATAGGTAGCTTACTAATATTTCAACTATTAACTTAACACAAATTTTTCTTTTTTGAAGACTGTAAGTGCCCATAAAAATTATTTGTTATCTTATAACATATTACTGATCCTTTAATTATAGCTGGGATTTTAGAACGAGTATAATTAAGTACTAAGTTATCGAATTTTGAAATTTAGCCACTACTGACTAAAAATAACCAAATAACTCGATTTCGTAATAATTAATTCATCGATAAACCAATTTCGTTAAAATTTAGTTATTGGCATATTTTAAAGTTTGACTCGATTGTCTCAGTTCTCAAATTATTGGAGTTATTATGACTCTTGGGAATTTTGAATGGTGAACTTTCAATAAGGTATCTACTAAATGGAAGAAATGTTATTATCTTTAAAGGGTTCTGAACGCAACGTCTAAAATATGTTTTTTACTACCCGAAAATCAAGTACATAAAAATTTCACACACCATTGCTGTAAAAGTGTAAGAATTTACTCAGAATAAAAAAATTAAGAAAAATGTTAGTCTACAAAAATAATACAACTTTTATATATCACTTTATACCTTATATATCTACTGTATCCGGTATACCTAAAGCTTAATTTGGGTGTACGAATTTCTTTACAATTATTTTTATGACAATTTATTCACTTTATTATATTCATATAAACAATTAAGTTTTGGGTAGACGCTCGTCTAGTTTGTATTATATGTATTATGTATATTATATGTTTTAAACATTCGTGTTTTAAGTTTTTGCAAGTCACAATATATTGTAGAGCTACACGGAGATTTGATACTTTCCAAGAATTTTGCTTGTTTTAATTATACTACAGTTAAACAAAAGGCATACAATGAATTAATATACCTTAAAATTGGGCAATAAAATAATTTTTATTAGTTTAGCTTCAAATAATTTCAATTGAGATTGTGTAGGTACAAAAAATTAGCATAATTTCGTTAAAATAATCCAACAAATCGTAACAAACTGATACGACTCTAAATGAAAAACTCCAAAAAACGCTTTCGAATTAATTAAAACACGCATTCTTTACAGTCAAAACAGCGATGTGGAAATATTCTACAAATAATACCTACATAGGTATATACAGGATACCAAAATTGCAAAACTTATTATAATTTTAGAATGCAACCATAATATAAATTTTTGGAAACTAATTGTTTTATTCTATTTCAAATGACTTTTTATACATATATATTATAAGGTATGATAATAACAATATATTAAAATGGAAATAAATTAAATTTACTCCAAATTAACAAGATAATTAAAATAACTTCATCTAATTACGTATCTAGATTACATAGTTATAACAAAAGTATTAATATAACGTAGTTATTATTACGTTGTAGTCTGTATACTCATTGTAAAACCAACCACGAAGGTTACCTATAAATATTACCAGAGGTAAATTGTGATTGAATCCCTTTTTTCAAATCAAAGATTTTTCTGAATTACAGAATTCGTATAAGAATATAGATAACCCGCTATAGCTTATCCACGACTGGGTTTTTTTTCATCTTAGACAAACCAAAACATTTGAAATGATAATATTCTACTCTCTTTTATCAACGTGACTTCAATGTGTTACGATAGCATATTTACATAGTACATGCTATATATATTTTTTTTTAATAACATTGACCTCATTACACGAAATATAGATATACGAGTACTAGAGTTTTTGAAGATGTGAAATAGTTCACCAAAATCGTTTCGCTTTGATTTTACAAACGGGTAAACAAATTTAAATTGTAAATGCGAATAGCTGTCATCCATGTTTTAGTTTGTCATATCAATAATATCTGTATCTGTATGACTGTATACACATGTCAACTCACATCTATACCTGTTTATTATTTTCACATATAGGAAGCATAACCTTAAAACGATTTTAAAAAATTGTGTAGGTATATACCTATGTGATGATAAGTCACGATAAATTGCACGGAAAATATCATAAATATCAATATTTTATTTACAGTTGAGTGAATGAGTGATATATATTACACTATTTATAATCATGGGTTCTACGGGAGAAGAGTAGCAGTATAGGAAGTATTTCCCCCCTCTTTGACTTTTTTCTGGGACGAATATCGTAATCATTTTGTGATATTAAATATCAAAAAAAAAAAATTTTCAAATTAAAAATGAAAAACATTTTTTACCGAGTCATTTTCATTAGGTTTGCTTAATTATGAACACCGTGACTAAAAACGTTGTTTTTATAGATTTATGACATGTATAGTGATGGGGCCAAGACCTGTGTCAACCAAGTTTTTATAATTTTAATACAAAAATAAATGTTCATATGTTATATACGCAGCGTTTTTACTTTTTTCAGACTTAAGTCTTTTCAAAATATTGAAGTTAGTTGTTTTTCTGATTTATGCATTTAATGGGGTTTATAAGAATAGTAATAATTTTTACTGTTTAGAACTTTTAGTGTTCAAGTATGTAGTAATAATTCTTTGATACCTGGTTTTATAGTTTTTAATTTATTTTAAATAGAAATATAGAAACTTGAAACATTTAATTTAACCTGAAATTATCAAATACATGGTAACGCATTCATTAATTTAAAATTATGATTATCAATTAAGTCTTAACTAATTATTCACATATAGCTCATAAATAAGTTTTACATCCCCTACCTATATGAAAGAAATCATGTCACAAACAATAGTTTATATCATTAATCGTATAGTGGAACAAAAATTTGAAAAATTAAAATTGTTGCCCCTCCCCTCGATCAACTCTTGCGGACGACCTTGTTTATAATATATTTTGGTTACCTTTATGTTTTAATGCGAAGTGTCTACCTCTATATCTGAATAATTTTATCTACATATATTTTAAACGTTGAATCCATTTAGTCGCGGCCGACCATTAAGGCGTTGCAGGGAATTTATTGTTTGTCCTTGGGATTTAAAAGTAAATCCTTGGAAACCCGGGTACCTTTTTCGTGGTTGTAAA